GGTGCTGCACTAAGACCCATCTCTCGCATGCCCCCCGTGCCTCCGTTGTCTTCCGGCTCTTTGTAAGCCTGGTGCACGAGCAGGGTAAGATCAGGAGTCGCACCAAGTGCTGCACAATCAAGCGCATCATGTCTGCAGGCGTGGCACGATGCGGATGTGATTGTCGATCAACATTCTGTCAGGAGTGGCTTCTTTGACGCAGTCAACATACACAATGGTTGGTGGCCTCAGCTGCTTCTGCCCATTGACCGAACGGTTCAGTTGAGTAAGCAGTAAGCACATGTAAATACATTTGGCTCCATCTTGGTGTTTGCCGTCAGGGTGTCCATAGTGTCTTGGCCATTGGCTTTTTGGTCTCCAACAATGCAACAAGGTCAAAGAATCAACTTACACTCAACGTGCTTGCGGCATGGGATTCCGGGATCCTGCCGAATTCCGTCTCGAAATGTCCCGAATGAGGTGAACGAATCTACAGCACCAGCTTCTCGCTGGCTTACAGAGCGCATGCAGATTGTCTTTCTTTCCATAAGCTGCCAATTTTATGGGTTTGATGACATGGGTATTGACCTTTCTTGTTGTTGGGCGATTTGGCACCGGCCAGGTTATCCCAAACAAGGCAAGCTTCTGCGATCCTGCCAGATTTGAGACGCAACTACACTTCCCGACAAAGCTTGAGTCTGTACGCGAATATGTATGTATACATATATATATATATTTATTTATTCATTTAATATTTGTACACACACTAAATCACACTAGCTAAGGTGTCTGTTTTCAGATCTAGATTACAATTGAACTCATTGACAGGATCTTTTGCTCCAAGGTGCTCGGGTTTGAAGGGCCGGCGTGCACAGTGTCGCGTAATGACCGTCGGCACCTCAAGGCATCTTTGCAGGGAACGGCACGGATACGAAAGGCTGCAGTTGATGCTGAAGGCCATCAAAGTGTTTGGCTAGGTCGCCAAGGTCTCTCCGCCGGCATTGACGGCAGCCACCGCCAGGTCGCGCAGCTCTCCGCGTGTGCAGTTCAGCAGCGTGAACCTCGATTGACAAGGTTTCTCACATCAAGCTTTTGACAGTACCAAAGAAACACGACCAGGGAGCTCCCTCGTGACGGAGTCCGTTGCCCCATCATAAGCCAACTTGCCATCGACATACACTCGATAGCCTGCAGGGCCCGCAACTTCCTATGCAGGAAAATGCCGAAACTCCACCCAGTGTATCTTCTTTCGCCCTGCCGCCTTCCACTTTCAGGCCTTGTCCTCGTCAAGGAAGCTACGCAGAGCGGAAGGCAGCAGGAGAGAGAGGAGGGGGGACGAAGAGGAGGAGTGGGAGGAGTGGGGCTGCTGGCGAGAGCACTCGCAGGAAACTGCAGCTAAGTGGAAGCTTCGGGCTTGTAATCGATGACACGATCTGTGATCAGGGCACGACATGGCGTATTCAAGCGCCCTCCTGGAGGTTCGATCCAAGCGATGCGGACTGTCATCTGGTCAGAACCCAACACCACAGTTTCCGGAGGATCCGGTAGGCCACCAGTCACCTTGGTTGTGGCTATCGGCTATTGATACAACAATGCAAACACATGCCGCAAGTGAACAGGAAACAGCCAATCCGGCTCTGCCATGCCATGATTCTATGAGCTGAACATGTTGCCGAGATGCAATTGAGATTTCCGGGGTCGCGAGGACTGCACCTGCAACGGCCTGCGTTTTAGCAAGCAGCCACTGTAGATTCTTGCCGTCGTCTGGCTAACAGAAGCCTCCGCTTGAACTCGAAGCGTCGTTCAAGATGGTATCATCCCTCCGATCTGAAGCCAGTAGAACTCCTATCCGACAACCGAGTTGAACATGCTACCAGTGAGGACACTGCCAAGCCTCGTTCGTGGCATAGACGCGATACTGGTAACGATGGCTGAGCACCGCTCGAACCTGGACACGACATGCTTCAATGCCCAGATTTCTTGTCACTACAAAGAGTACATCTGAGTACATTGTGCAATGTTTGGTGACCAGCGTCAGTGCCCAAAAAGAGAGGAATCTTCAGTGAATGCCTTCGTTTAGAAGTCACTCTGGTCTTTATGTCGCGACTATGGGTCACCTTAGATGATCCTTCGGCCAAGATGGAGTTTGTGTACTACTGCCATGCAGACTTGGCGAGGCTGAACTAGATGGCGCTCGGATAGAGTCGAAGCAGCATCACTGTAGAAGAGATCCGTGCTGAAGGTCGACGCCGAACGCAACTCCTGAAAATCGCAGAGCTTCAGGTACGTCCAGATGTGCAAAATGGGTACTGAGCACAAACCCTAGGGCCTAGGGTCCTAGACTAGACCCATTTTGCTACGGGGACGCCCTTCCAATTGAAAGCAAAAGATAGACTTGGGCTCAAGCTACGGAGGCGCATGAAATGCTGCCAGGGGTCCCGCCAACCTCCCTGGTCTTTCTCGACGACGTAGCAAAACCTAACACAGACTGTTGCGTTACGACTTGGCCGAAAACTTCTTAACTCTGTTGCTGGAAAGCTGATAAAGAACTGCTGTATAGCTGATGTTCAATGCGAATTCTGGCTCTCATGATGCTGACCAAAAGGTTTTTTTGGTGCGACGGAACCTGCTCATGATGCTGAACATCTGCTCATGATGCTGACCAAAACGTTTTTGGTGTGTGTTGCACTGGGAGCCCAGAAAATCGTATGAGTGTAAACCATGAAAAATAGCTGATGCGCTGCTAACCGACCCCGACGACAAACTGACACTGACCGCCGGTGGAGCTGCTCGCCATGTCATATGGCCTGGGCACAAATGCCAATGAGAGCAATCTAATCTGAATCTGCAAAGCCTTACATTGCAGAAGCGAGGCCACCAGCGCATCGTCTCTGGCACGACCTGCAAACAGACAGGCAGGCACCAAAATATGGATGATATTATGGTTGTGATAATAGACATGGCTGGGCCTGAGCTGCTGTCTTATTTCTGCTCGGCAGGTGAGCTGACGGTGGTCTCAGCAGCTAGGCTGTCCGGTGGAAAAAAACCGTGTCCTTTAAAGGCTCGTGGATTAAAAACCCACCAGAATCAGAATGATGATGTGTCGACACAGTCTGTTGAGCTCAGGCCCTCGGCTCCGCTGGCGATAGAATTAGAATGACAGACACCTGACAAATTGCATGTGTCGACCACAGTCAGTCACTGACAACTGACTAGGAGAATGGTGGCGCTGACACAGACACAACGTCTGTCAAAATCGCCGTAAGACTACGATTTGCAATGGTCGACGCTGCAACAGCAGACAACACACAGAGATAGTATTATGACAACTAACACCTAGTTAGAATCACAACTGCTTTACCGGTTGTGCATACACATCGTTCCTTAACGCAGTGTGACCAAAGATCCCGCTAGGTGGCTTTAAAATCAGGCCTTGCGGCCTGCCACTTTCTCGTGATTGACTGAATCCGGCCATGCGACAGCTGTGACTGACAGTTGTTGTTGACGGCTGCAAAAATACGGATAAGTTCAAACCAACGATTGACGACAATATTTTATCAACTTGAGCTTGAACCCGCGGTGCCGCATGCTTCAGATGACACAGACACAGACACAGTCATCACACAATCTCAGCGGAGCCGTCTTTGAGGATCAGCTGCTTCGCCAGGGCGATAGCGATGCCGTAAGGCGTCAGCTCGCCGCCCTCCGACCCTGGTTTCTTGAAGACCCAGCGCAGCGCGAGGCGGTCGTTCGCCGTTGCCATGGCCAACACCTGACAGACAAACAGTAAATAAGTTGTCGTGGCTGTTGTTGTGGTTGATGATGCTGCTCTTGTGACTGATGTCATGGTTGTTGTTGTTGTTGTTGATGTTATTGTTGTTGCGGTGGTGGTGGTGGTGGTGGTGGTGGTGGTGGTGGTGGTGGTGGTGGTGGTGGTGGTGGTGGTGGTGGTGGTGGTGGTGGTGGTGGTGGTGGTTGGAGTTGTTGTGGTTATTGTCGTTGTTGCATTGTCGCCGTGATCGTTGATTGCTTGTGATTGTTTGGTCGACTGTTTAATAACAAGCATGTTATTGTTGTCTTTCTGTTTGTTTGTTTGTTTGTTTGTGTTTGTGTGTGTGTGCCACGCCTCCTGCACACGAGCATCGTTGGCCACGAACACTTTGTTCGACGCCGGCTTGTACTGCTCGTTGTGCTCCGCCACTGTCTTCGCCTTCGTCTTCTCCATCAAGGCACTGACAGCGATAGCCGCTGGCGACGACGAGCTGACGCTGATGTCGTCCTTGTTGAAAACCAACGTCTGGCGGGCGACCTTGTAAGGGACCGCATGCGCCAACACTGGGTCCGTCATCTTCATGATCTTTCCTTCTCTGACGACGGAGAGCATGCAATGCGGCGGGAGCTTCTTGTTGGTCTGGACGTCGCAGATGATGCTGACCTTGATCTTGCCGTCCGACCGCAGGAAGCTGACCTGGTAGCTGTTGTCGTTCACGCGAATCGTGTTCTGGAGGACGACTGACCCTGGTGGCACTGCTGGCGTCGGAAACGGCGCCGGGGTCGGCTTAGCTGGCACCTCGGCCTCCGGCTTCGGGGCCTCCGGCTTCGGGGCCTCCGGCGCCGACGCTGGCACTGGAGGGGCCGGCTGTGGCTTGCCAGTGTCGACGGCAGGCGCTTCAGGATCCTGCAAAAGCAGGTTTGCACAATTTAAATTTACAGTCTTTCGGCGTCAATATTGTAATAAGGCTTGGCACAGGCATGCTGCGTAGGTCAATGCAATACTACCAGTCCTGCGCTGTCACAGTCGCCGTGCCTGGGGACGCCGTAGGACTCTCCTGGAAATAGTTTTCCAGAGTCCCTCTGAACTTCTTCACCGGGGTCGACTCGTGGATCGACGACTGGTTGGCTGACGACGACGCTGGCGGCAAGGCGCCGAAACTGATGCAAAGGGGCGACCCAGACGCAATGCCAGCCCCATTGCGCGTCCGCACCTTCACCGACAACAGGCCGTCCGTAAATCCGTTGTCCTAGGTGAAGGACACAGGTCACGTCTGCAAGCAGTAGAAATCTGAAACATGGTATATTCAAAACATGACTAAAGCATCTGCAGCCCCGATTCCGGGCAGACATCCAGACGGCAGTTCGGCGACTTGCCTAGGCGGCAAGCAGCACAGTTATATTAAATAATAGGAAGCAGCAGGGGAAAAAAACTTCAGTGAAAAGTGGAGACTTGTCACATGGTCGCACTCCAGCCGTAACCCGGTACCTGGAGAGTTATGGCACGAACCTGTTTCAAACCAGAGCCGAGTCACGCTGGGCGTCGCTGAAGGGCGTGAGGTACTGCGCCCAGCCGACCAGGACTGCGTACAAGGTGATCTTCAAGTCGACGCCGTGATCGAAGTTTTCCAGTCTGACCACTCGGTCGCCTTATGTACTGCCAGCTCAGGTCAACAATAATTAAAAAATCGTCGTAGCATTCAGCCGTCTGTCCTGCAGTCAGACAGATGGACTATACTATTATGCTCTGATTCCAAATTCCTTGCACCCTGCCATCTAGCAGAAAAGTCCCTACTGTTGCTTCCAAAGTCTCGCAGTGCCCCATGCCCGTCTCGAGCGAGGAAAGCCTGCAACTTGTCCAGGTTGGTGAAGAAGAGGGCTGACGCTGGGCCAATGGTGTCTCCATCTCTGAAGGACCTTCATGTCGAGCACTCTACCAGAATCATGTGACAAAATAATATCAGAGTATCGAACAAGTACTCGTAACATTGACTAAATGACTGGTTGATTCATTGACTTACGGTTTGACTGACGGCCTGATTGATTGGTTGATATTGGCCCCTCGATAAGTAAGTAAGCCCTGCACTTCTTCGCGACCGCAACTCGGCCGGACGCAGAAGCTTCGATGCCGAGGGAGTACTCCATCAACTGCGACTGCACGAGATTGCGGACCTTCTCTGCCAGGCCGGTCTGGTCCACATCGACGCCGCTCCGCCACGACTCTGACACCGGCACGTCCTTCGCATAGATCATGGCCTCCTCTCTGTGCGTCCATCGATTATCGACTCCAAAACTCTGAATCCTATTGAGAAACTTCCAAACCTAAACCCCTTAACCCCAAATCCAAAAAAAAAACCTAGACACTGAACTCTCACAATTATGGCTGCAGTGGCGGATCCTCGAGCTCAGGGACGCTGACGCCGGTGATGAACGATATGCTGTCGGGGCCGATTCTCTTGCGGCCGACGACCGACCGCTGGGCCTCCGACAAACGCCTGTGCGTGCAGATCGACCGGAGGAGCTCCTTGGCGTGGCCGACAGAGTGCTCGTTGGGCCCCTCGACCAAACAGAAACATTCAAGGCCGACGGACTCGCAGGCGACAGCCGACGCAGGGTGGGAGGTCCTGTCAGGGTGTGGTCTCAAGTATCGAAAATAAATACAGTCTATAGTCACGCTGAACATTCGAGAAGCTAAGGCTGACATTGACATGGCTTAGGCAAAACGTTCAAGAAGCGCCTCGACAGCAGAACGACCTTCCGACACGACTCAGAGTGGCCAATCTCCTTGAGCATTCGCTCGTACCACACCACTGGCCTGGCGAAGCAATAGATGTCCTTGGCCCCCGCAAGGTCGACTTCCGACTCTGACGCAGGCTCATCCTCCTCACCAGGCGCCTCCGACACTTCGAGCTCGTCTTCTTGGCGTTCCTCCATGTCGTCACGGTTGATCTCGCTCTCAGGGTCCATGGCTGCGGCGGCTTTGGCGCCCTGCAGGGCACACAACAATTGGCTGGAGGACACTGACTGTGCCTTTCAGCTAACACGACTGACCGACCTCGGGCACATCCGACGCTGAAGCTGGCCGGTGCTTGCAGCGAGGGTCCGTGCAGCGCTGGTTCGTCAGCTCGTAATGCTGACAACAGACCCTGTTGATCGCCACACCAGCAGGGATCGATTCTGCACCGAACGCCTTGCCCTGGCCTCGGACGACGTAGGTCGGGGGCAAGTTGAGCGACTGAC